CACTAGTGGGTTTGTCAGTTAAAGATCATTGTGGTGGTTTCTAGACAACACAAAAGATATGGAAATTTTTAGAAGTGGACTTTTAATTCCGAATTTTTCCATACTGTAAAATTTTATTACAGAAGAAGACCCAGTGAGATCACAGTTTTCACCACACAAATGAAGATAGTGGTTAACCTAACCTTGTTAGGTCTTTGTTGCAGACGATATCAAAAAAGGAACATATTGGGCAGGTCTGAATCTTTTGGGAACCTCATCAACTGACCTAGTCTTTAATTTGGAACCTATACTATACTATTTCCAAGCCCTGGAATGCTATGAGAAGCAGCTCCATGTCATTGCAACAGGCCAGGACTGGGTTATAAGTGATATAGATTTTCTATATTTATAGAAGGTTGATAATTATTTATTAAGGAACTTATTGGTTTTTAGATTGCTATTAATTAGTTGGAACTAATTGGTCCTCTAATTTAAATACTATTACTATTGGTAAGAAACTATTCTATTGTGAACAAATTTCTATAATATATTTTACATGTTTAAAATACTAGGTGTAGTAAGTTAAGAACTGTTTCTCATTCTTTTATCTTCTCACAGACTTTTCCCAGAATAATGCCTAGGAAAATTGTGTTTCTCTCTGTGGTCAAAGAGCTGCTGCTACAGTTCCACAGCAGATAAACCAATTAAAAAGAAAGATGAACAAACTAAATGACAAGACGGAAAAAAAATTAAAATAATTTCTAACCTTCTCCACTCCTTCTGTTAAAGAAATGCTAAAAAAGACCCAAAAAATATCTGGATGACAAAACTATAGAAACGGAGGCTAGATTAGGAAAATGAAAGGCTTTTAGTCTTCAAAAGTCTTCAAAATTACAATGATTTTCATTGCCTTCATAAAATCAGTTGTGGGTGTTACTGCCATATTTTCTTTTGAGCTTCCATTATGATGATAAGTTTTGCATTAAATGAAAGCAAATAGTTGTTTATACTTCATTTTGCAGCAGTCAGCATGTCACAAAGTTAGCACTTCTCCTCTGAGATTTACAGAGTAGGATTTAGGCTAATTGCTGGCACAGCAGATTTCAGCCAAAGGTTGCTTTCATTTAAGCATTTTGTTTTTCATATGCCTTGGCTGATTTCAGGTTATTGGAGTCCAATATAATTACTTGTTTAATTGCTTGGAAGAAGTGGAGCTTCCGTAGTTGAAAAATAGCTTATTTTCTTTAAAATAACTGAAATCTGGCTTAGGGTTCTCTAGAGTGCTATGCACTATATAATTGTGTTATTTTATGCTTTTAAAAACTCTCAGAATAGTCCTGAAATCTTCGGAAGCTAGCTAATCTCCAGGAGGATATGATAGGTCTGTTGCAGGGTTTGTAAGAATATATGACAACTCAACATCATAAGAAAAATTGCTTCTAAATGACTGTAAGACTGGGTCAAAGACTCCAGAACCAACTTCTTTCAAGAGATGACCACCACATAAAGGAGAGGAGGAAATGTTGACACAAAGTCCAGAGAGCTTGTGAAAAAGTGTTAATCAGTTTGACACTGGTCAGCATCACTTTTATTTGTGCAGTACAAACTTATGCTGTGTCAAAGCACACCAATAATGGAAAAAATGAAGGGAAAAAAAGAGAGGTTTAATGTGATAGTTAATGACATGGAGGAGAGTAAAATAACGAATAAGGCAATAAGATAGGGAAAACTGTAGCCTGCATGTTGAGGAGCCAGAGATAATCCTAATATGTTCCGGGTCATTATTTCTGCCCTTGATACAACTCATTTCCTTATTACGGAGTTTAAGCATGTCACTTTCAGCCTACTCTCCTTTGGTGTTAGCGTGTGTGTTCCTGTGTAATCTATCAATCTGTTCTTTTCCCTTACAACTTTATTTTTTACTCATTTAGTACAAAGGGAGGGATCTCCAAGGCACTGAAATTCCAACAAGTTTCAGGAAAATTGTATATTCTTATGCGAGAAAAGAGAACCAGAAATTACTCCCAGAAGGACTCTCAGCTGAAGGCAGCAGTTCAGCCTGAGTTGTGACAAACAGAAGCAGCAAAGGTTCAGCAGAAGGATGGGTACTGAGAAGAGAAATCCCCAGAGACCCTGCCACAAGAGACCTTCTCTTCATATTGCACTTTACCCCAAAATAAAATTCACAGAGAACTAGGCATTAGTTCCAGCACTCACAAAGCTAGGAGCTGTGCCTTTTAGTTGAAATATTATGTAGAGATTCCTGTTGCCTAGCCTTAACCCACCTCATTGAAATGCATTCTTGTTTTTGTTTGGGATTTGTGTAGTGTTTTCTAGGTGGGGGTTAAGGGTTTATGCCTGTATTTGTTTGATTTGACTTGAATTTTTTTGAGGTGTGATAGGCAGGGAGCAAGTGGTCTGCATTACTGAGCTTTAGTTGCACCATCAGCCAAGGTACCAGCCAAAAACACGACACTGAATGTTTTTGCAAGGGAAAGGTTTGCCTCTTCTCTTTAGGGCTAAAGTTAATTTTGGGTAGAATATTGGCACAATTTATTACATTTCATCCTTGGCTTTTGTGGTGAAAATAGAGATTGCTTTTTCTCTGCCTAGTGTGGCAAGCAACCTGCTTTCTAACGGTATGAAAATAATGTAAAAAGAAATATCTAGTAAAAATACTTCTATGATGGGAGGGAATCCGGTCTTTTTGGAGACTGTTGCAAGACATATGTTGGCTCACATTGCCTTTCCTCTTCTGAGCATCTGAAAGGTGCACTGCATCCCCAAACCTCTACAAACCACAGTTGCAACTGTTTCAGCTGAGTCCTAAGTAATCATTTGCAGAACTTCAGGGCGTTGTGAGTATGCTGAGGGCAAGATGCATCTGCTTCTCACAGACGCAGTCTTGTGAATGCAGCAGACAAGGATTTGTGAATGATGGGAGAGGAAAAGATTCAAAGAGGCTACAAAGCATTCCTCTGGTTCTTCTCTTTTCATATTTCTTTTTGTCTGTCATCTCAAAGCCTGAAGCTGAGAAAGCCATTTAGTCCAGCTCACATCCACATCAGTTCTCAGGGACTCCATAGGAATCAGCAGTGTATCATATGAGCTCTGGAAATGGTTCAGAGTGTGCTGATCTTGGCTTTATGTCTGGACAGCTCGACCTAAGCTTGAAACAGAGAATTCAGAGAAAAACTGTTTTGTGCTTATGTGAAGAGAAGAATGTTAGTTGAGATTGCAATGAGACATTTTGCTTGTACTATATCTTGCTGTGTCTATTAAATCTATTAAACAGCAGCTAATTGCAAAACCCTCTTGCTAATTGGGTTTTTTCAAGCTGCTAGCAGTAGGTATCATGTATGATTATGCCTCTTCTGCTAACTGAACATTTAACATTTAAAAGATGAAAGAGCGTGGAGAATGGAAAAAGGCGCGCGGAATCATTCAGGTTGTTTTAGCATCTCAAGTTTTTATTCCAATGGATGATAATTTTGTTGGTGTTAAGGAAGTAGCTGATGCATTTCACTTGAAGTCTTTATAGATATGAAGTTTGAAAAGAAAGATGTACACTGAGCCGACCTTTCATAAATGCCTAAGTCTTTCAGAGGTCTGCAATGTGAGATTGGAAACCTCAGATCTCATAGAGCAGATCTCCATCACTTTGCTTAGTCGATGAAAATAGAAGGTTCAGGGGGTTTTCCATAGTATGAGAACAAGGCATGATATTATAATATTTAAGGGTAGTAACAGTAGTAAGCTGAACATTATCATTAAAAAAAATAGTTATGACATGTACTATTTCTGAAGGAACACAAAGCAGATATACAACCATTTTGAGAAGGCATAAAGATACCAGAGTATCCCACACTGGCAAAGAGCACACATTAGCCACTTATTAACAGAAAAATATTATATTTTCATTGTAATTGAGATTGCTTAGCCAGATTTCAACACAGAAGGGACTGCAAGGTAACTTTGAAAGTTTGTAGACTTTGAAGAGTTTTTGAGTGACTCATTCTTGAAGCTAAATATGAGAAATTGTTAATAAATTTTCTTTATGTAATATTGCTTGTACTTGAGCAGTCCACATTTTCTTCTCATATTTTTTTACCTTAATATAGCTTACAGCTGTTCTTTGGTATTCTGTAAAGGTAGATCAGTTAAAACCTTTTTGAAGCCAGACAACTGTTCTGAATTGCAAGCTACTGATTCAATTCTGAAAATTTAAGATTTTTCAACTCTCCTATCTTAGTGATGATAATCATGGTTGTGTGTATTTGAATAGCTGAATGTGAAATTCTTTCATTTTGACTTTTCTCTAAGTATCTGTTTTAGCAGTACTTTTTCCTGTGCATTAAGCTTCAGCCCTGTGCATTTGCAGCACTCTAAGTGTAGTCAATAAAAAGTAAACATCATGTCTAGAAGCTCTTAATTGTTATTTCATAGCCATATCATCAACTCTGTCCTTCCTCTTGTCCTGTCACAAGCAGACACTTAGGAACAACATTCCTAAAGTCCTTGAATTCAATAATTCAATTTGGGTAATTATTCTTCATCTGTGAAGAAATATACTCCTAAACTTGTTGCAGGTTCAATTCTTTTTCCATTTGTTCCTCCTACATCTTCCTTAAAAGGAAAGAAGTGGTGTTTTCCACTGTAAACAGTATGGATAAATATTTTAATTTTGTTTTATCTTAAAATAAATTTCATTCTGTGTTTAACTTAAACCCTTAATGCTGTGGGATATGGGAATCATGAGGCAGGGGAGATACTAGCATAGGCACTAACTTTTTGTTAGTTGCCAGATTCATTCCTTATTGATTGCTACCAGCTTCAGAACAAAGAGGTCTTGTATGGTCCTCATAGTCAGAAACTACACATCAGTGTGGTGGATCATTAGTCACTTTCTTTCCTTAAAGCAAAATTATACACTTTTCTATGATGAGTAGTCTGTGTGTCTTTAACACTGTCTTTCTTGCAGCCCATGTCAAGGATTGAACTTCCCAAATTATGTATTTCAGACATTGAGAAAGAAAGGACTTAATGGCTGTGACAGTCCAGACCCTGATGCAGATGATTCAGTAGGTCACAGCCCTGAGTCTGAGGACAAGTACAGAAAACTTAATGAAGATATTGATCTAATGATCAGCAGGCAAAGATTATGTGTAAGTACTCTGAGCTCCTTTTCATATTTTTTTACTTTCTGATATTTCTCTGAATCTGGCAGGCATTGCACAAGAAAGAAAACAAAGCTTGTGAAAGCCCTGATCCTGACTCCTCTTATGCTCTCACCCCACGCACTGAAGAAAAATACAAAAAAATTAATGAAGAATTTGATAATATGATCAAGAGCCATAAAATACCTGTAAGTACCAAAGGTTAGATGGCTGTCTGCTGATAACTGCTGCAGTAACAAACCATAACCCTTTCAGTTCTGGCTTCTTAAGGAAATAAATTCAGCGAGAAAGAGGCTTTAATAGCCAAATATATAACTAAACACTGTGGTGACAAAATTTTACACAGAATAACTGCTGCAGTAACAAACCATAACCCTTTCAGTTGTGGCTTCTTAAGGAAATAAATTCAGCTAGAAAGAGGCTTTAATAGCCAAATATATAAGTAAACACTGTGGTGACAAAATTTTACACAGCATATTTTTCTTTCAAGTCTCTGACTCTAACACACAAACAAAGCCTCTTATGGATGAAACCTACAGAAGGAAGTGAAATATATATATATATATATATATATGTATATATATATATATATATATGAACTATATTCACTTGATTTTCAGAAGTGTTTTACCACACCACTTGCCCAAATTATACTTAAGAAAATAACAGCGGAAATCTTTCTTTGTGGACTGGCTAACAAATTGACAGAATACTTTCTGTTGTGATATAGAAAAAGCAATGTAGAACTGAGATTGCTGTATATATAGTAATTAGTGTTTTTAGTGTGTGTTACTTCAATTCTCCGTTGTCTCTGCTAAATTCAGTTGCAGCACTGAAGGGTTACAGCTACTTGCTCACTGCAGAGAAACAGACTGCATGAGAACCTAATGGCAGGTCTCAGACATGTTTGTGTGTTGGGGTGATTGTACAGCTTTATCAGAGAATTTACTTTGACGTCATCAGCATTACTTTAATGGTTTAACATGAGCTAAATTTTGCTTTAACCAAGTCAAAATTTCTAACAATCAGTCATATGCCTTGCCAGATATCTAAGAGAAATAACTCTGCATGTCCTATTTGTTTTGCACGAGACATACAAAAGATGAATTATTTGTCATTATGTTTAATAGTAAATAGTAAATAGCAAATAGTAAATTTGTAAACACACCAAAAAAAAAAAAAAATAGAGGTTTGAAGGTTATATTTGATTGGTTTTCCAAGTGTCTGTGGAAAACAAAGTAGGAAACCAAATATTTGCTCAGATCCAAAGAAGCATTTGAATTTGCATAGGTAACTTCTTATTTCTAAAAGACAAGAATAAGAGATGATTTGTAGGTGTTCATTTGTCATTCCCATTCAAAGGTTGCATGGTTACCTACCAAAAATATTGTCTGGATGCCCAGAATGCACAGTGTCTTCTGTACAGTGTTAGTCAATTGCACATACAAAATCTGACAACTATGAGGATAATTCTTAAGGAGGGTCAGATTCTGTCTCAAGCACTCAAAGTGTTCTTTCCATTAAGTCTCAGCAGAAGGATTTTTCACTCAAGATTAAAATTAAAATTTGAAGAAGTTCTTACATCAGGCCAAAAATATTTTGGAAAAACTATAAGGACATTAAATAATACTTTCCCAGAGACTAGAAAACATCAAATTTGATAAAGCAATATTTAAAATAACTGGTTAAGGGTGCTCAACATGTATGTAGAATATCAGGGAGGAATACAGATATATCCACATTTTTTGCCTCCCTTTTTATTTGCTTCTTTTGGAAAGCTGTTTTTCTCAGAACAAAAAAGCTCTAAAGCTGTCACTATTAATTTGGTTTTTCAGGATGCAACTCAGCTTGACAAATGATGACTGCAGTATTTAGGGAGTCTGTTTTAAGCCAGACTGCTTAACCCTTTTTCACATCAAAATCTCACCGATTGTCATTCTTTCATGCTGTTTCTCTTTCAAGGATGACTTTTGGCTTTTTCAAATCAAACTGACGGAATTTTCAAGCTACTCTTCTGCCTTAAAAATATATTTGGAGTAATCCTTCAGAACATCTGTTAATCTCATGCTACCTGTTTCTTTTCTTTCCTAACAAAACAGGTCATGTTATAATCATCTGAAATTTTAAGACATTAAAAAAATCCTTGGAAAAAAAACTTCATTCCTGTAGTAGTGATTTCTATCTCTTTATTTACCTCCATAAGTATTTGGGAAAAAATTGTCTTTTCTGTAAACTGAGGAAATATATAAGATTTGAAAAACAGACAGTTAATCTGAGCATGGTATATGAGTTTTGTTTTCCCAAAATTAATGGAATTTTCTTCCAGTTGCTTTCATTAAATATAACTTTTTGACGTCAAATATAGTCCTGCTTCAGGAATTAATTGGTGATTTGGGGTATAACTTCCTACATTTCAGGAGGTTATGAGGTGCAGTCTATTAATCTTTTTGTGAAATTACTTCAGAGACATTTCAGAGATACAGAACAGCAAAATTTTAGCATTTTTTCATATAAGACAGAATAGCCATTCTCTGAATACATCACAAGCTGAGCTCAGGGCCTCTGTCCTACATCAAGCTCCTTACCACAATAGGAAGAACCAATACATATTCACTGCTAATGCAACAGGAACTTCTCTTGGCATAAGCTGAGATGTAATGGGCAAGACAGAGATCACAACTTATGCATAATGGCAATTTGTAACTATCTAGTTTTATATATAAATAATATGGAATGTATAAAGTAATATCCTTAACTGGGCAATGCAGAATAACTAAGTCAAGGAAGATGTATTCATTTACTTGTGATCATCAAAGGTAGCCAAGAAAACTGGGGAGAGAAGAAAACAAAATTAAGAATAAAGTCATTGAGTCAAGTCTCTAAATCACTACTTACAAAATATATAAAACAATGCATTGCCTCTGCCTGGTTCTGTAACATAAAAATGTTGTTGCCAAATGAAAACAGCATTGGCTTTTGCTCCTAACAGCTAAGCCAAATGTTTCGTCAGATAATTTTCTGGGGATAAGTATTCATATTGTCCTAAATCATCTGATAATAATTAGACACTTATTTGTAAATTTCATAAGAATGATGAAAGCAGAGGAGATAGAAATAGCTCACAATAAGGAAGCTATAAGTATCTCTGTCTCTAAAGAAATGAAGTCCTGGCTGAGCATGGGAGACATAAATCCAATACTTAACACAGAATATTTGGCCCATAAATTCCAAGGGGGTTGAGTGCCCAACACATTTTTGGCATCATGTACCACAGCTTGTGGAGTGACCATCTAACACTGTGTGCTGTACACTGGCAGTATCATCTCTGGTGAGCCATCTGCCCTCTTTGACAATAGTGTCCAAAGGAGAAAGACAAAGGAAGGGGAAAAAATAGGCAAAATGTGACAAACTTTATACACATGACAGAAAAGACTTTGTCTAAAAAAAAAAAAGCAAAAAAAACAAAAAAAAAAAAAAAAAAAAAAAAAAAAAAAAAAAAAAAAAAACACACTAAAGCAGCATGAAGTGTTCTTATTTCTGAGGTGAATTCTTTGAACAGTCCCCATCAGGCTTTTGATATCTTTTGATGCCAAATTACATTCACATTGACGTTTTCCTAATTTTGTTTGTTAGTCCAGGCCAGGAACAATTTCCAATTGTCAGTCTACATGTAGTCATGATTTTTTAAGGCTGAGAAAGCTTAATAGTATGGACATGAACTGCTCTGTGGCGCAGATGGCCTCAGTTCCTCCCTAGTTCCTACTAATATAGATATTACACAAGTGCATCAGAAGCTTTAACGTCCATCAGGCTGAGATGGAATCAATACAACCCATGGCTCACCACCAGGAATGACTAAGGAATCTGCAGTTCTTGGTGAGGAATGTGTAACACTTTAATAAAGTTAGACAGAGGAAACTGTACCTAGAGATGTAGTGTTTAATACTGATGTTTACCCAGTCAAACTTCTCTCTCTCAGTTTTGACTGTGGAAAAGAAGAAATACAAACTACTGTATTTGAGATATAGTATATTGTGCTGAAAAGCAGAGAGTAAACTAACGTTGGTCTAATAAAATTGCCTATGAAGTGCTCTGTTAAAAGATGTAAGTTAATCCAGATAGTAGGCAAAATGACAAAAACTAGACCATTCATACAGAAATTAAACAAATAATTCAGCTATTTTAAAAAAGTATTTTTAAATTACAAAATGAAAAGTAACAGTTTCACATGACTAGGGAGGCTGGCAACCCAAAAAGGTACCAAGATTTGAGCTCTTTAGTGCTGTACAAATGTAGAAAAATAAGAATCTTGAACAGTTTGGTTTGTACATGGAAGGAAGAGCATAGTGGTTAAAGTAAACAAGCTTTTAAAATTCTGGCATGATTTTCAGTTTTGCGTTTATACAGGTGTTTAAGTTTAGCTAACAGAAATTTAGATTAGGAAAATATATTAAGAAAATAGAGGCAATCAATAACAGTCTCTACCCAGTCTCAGAAGGCAGACTTCATAGGTCTTGTGACATAGGGTGACAAAAACCTCACACAAAGTACTACCTTGTCAGTGACAGTCAGTGCAACATAGACTGGTTGGTCCATGGGCTCAAAGCCACCAGGCAGAGAGAATTCCATCACAGCCCTGGATGTTGCAATAATCAGAAACTCCATATTGGCTTATTCGTGTCTCACATCAGGCTGTAATTGGGACTGAAACATGGAGAGCTCAAACACTGACTTCAAGTTCCACAGTCCTGTACTTCTGACTAACGTGGGATTTAGGAACATTTTAGGTCCTTCTGTAGCCAATATAAAGAATTACTTGCTTCAAAACATACCTTCAAGCTGATAAAATGTTTCAGATTATGCTATGTGACTCTATTTCCAAGGATCTTAGACCTGAGTCATAAGGCTGCAGATTACATATAGATTCTTACATCTGTAGATTAGATGTGGAACATGTGGATTCCCAAATCACCTCACCTTCCTTTCCTACCCCTCCTTGAATCAATCAGCTTTATGAAAAATACAGCCCTTGGAGTGCATTTCAGCTTCTCAGCAAAAGGAAGTAAATTCCCTTGCGCCCTTAGGATGGGGAGCAATGCCAGCAGGTCCAGCTACTCAACTACTATTGCTATGGCCATCTCTCCAAAAAACGAGAGGGTATCAGAGCTAAAATTAACACTTCAAAATAATTAAAAGGCATTTGTATAAAATGTCCTTAATGTCATACCCTGAAAATCTTGCTCTTTGTTTTGGTGGTTAGGCAAAATAATTCCTCTATATTTAGAGTAATATATTCTCTGTCCCTGGAGAGAACCAAGAAAGATAAAAAAAAAAAAAAACCAACCTTAAGGGATAACTGTAATTTGATGACAGTGCTGTAATACAGATGTCATAGCCCACAGCTCCAGCCAGAGAAGAGATACAGGTGGCATGTCAGGGTGCCTCAGTTGCCTGACTAGCAATTGATATGTCCAGTTCTCCTCCTAGGTTCTTGAAGATATACCAATACTATCAGCTACCAACAATAAAATTAAAACCTTTGATTTCCTCCCTTGGAATATGTTACCAGTCTACTTTAAAGAATTTTTTTGACATGTTTAAGCTCTTGAAGCTCATAAGATTATAAATGTTAGAAAACTTGCAAATTGAGGGGTACTTGGTCTGTATTCACATATTGAATATCTAAAATGCTGTCTGGTAATTCTGAAAAGGTTTTTCTAATAAAAAAGGCAAGAAAATAATTTTAAAAACAAATAAATTAAATATGGATTTTTAATGTAGTCATAATTTTTATGGAAATTCAAGCAACTGCTACCCAAGAAACCACAACCAACAGTCACAACCAGCCAAGGAAACCTGAACTGAGCTTCCTAAAAGCATAATGAGATATACATCTCCTCTCAAGCTCTGTTAGTGTGGTACATTATTTGCATTGTTTTTTTTATTTTAAAAGCATTCTTGCAAAGGGAAGTAACTCAGAAGATCTTGCCTTTAGGTATTTCATATTGAAAAGGTATCACTGAACACCACTTCCATCTCCCAAAAAACAGCCCACAAAGACTAGTGTGTATCTAATATTCTTGTATTTGTTAGCTGTCCCTGAGGAGAACTTTACTTTTTTTAAGCCCTTCCAAGCTAAGATAGAAACTCATTTAAAAAGTGATTTACTCTATTGGTGTCTTTTATGTGACTTGGGATAATTCTGGTGCTAAAGAGACACAAGCTGAAATTAAGGCCTTCCCTTTTGCATTATATCTCTTACAATTTTTTTTTCCATATAATGAAGTTACCATTGTTATGTAACCTTTATCTTGCAGTAATCTATGACACTAGATTAAGGTGACAAGTGAACAATAGGACTTCAAAGAATGAAAGAAATAGAAGATTGTGCTGCATTAGGCAGAGGTTTGTTTTAAACAAGTAAAAAATAGAAAAGATGGAAAAAATCTTTCCAGGTCTTACAGAATAAATGTGCAAGCTGCCTAAAAGGAAGATGGAATCATTATTTGAAAAATCATATTTAAAAGCCTTGGTAATTATTTTGATACTCTTCTCTTGAGTCTTAGGGGAAAGGGGCAAGCACAAATATTTTACCCATCAAGTACAAAATATTTGAACTAAATATAGAGTAATGGTACTTAAAGGCTGTTTCAGTTTTGTACTATTCTTGTATCTGTTTTCCTTTTTTACTTGTACAGGCTGTTCCACCACCAAACTTTGAGATGCCAGTTTCTATCCCAGTGTCCAACCACAACAGTCTGGTATACAGTAACCCAGTCAGCTCGCTGGGAAACCCCAACCTTTTACCACTGGCTCATCCTTCTTTGCAAAGGAATAACATGTCCCCTGGTGTGACACATCGGCCTCCAAGTGCAGGTAACACAGGTAGGCTCTGTTTAATCCCATTCCTTCAAATGCTCTCCTATCAGCTACTTGCATGCCTTGGGTCACTTTAAATTGTACTCCAAGAAAAAGGAACTCTATTTTTAACAGTCATAAGAGCTTGTCCAAAATTGCTATGTTGAAAAATCAAGACACAAAAAATAAAATACAAAATTTTAAAAAACCCTGCATACTGAATATTGACTAAGATTGAAGGAAATCCGTGAAGTCAATAAAGGATAGAAGGGCAGACAAGATGCTTTTTCATAAAAAGGCAGCTTATCTACTTAATTCATGCAAGTACTCATTATAACATAAAGCACAGGAGAAAATGTAGCCAATGTAAAAAAAAATTGAAGCATTAAATTAGAACACTCATTACTCAAATGATCAGTCTACATGCTAAATGCAGAATTTATTTTTATTGATTCATTCACAAGTTCCTTGGTGGGTTAATGTTAGTTGTGCTCTATACTTCAGTGCTATACATAGCAAGGGTTTGTGTTTTGTTCTGGTGATGACTAGAGCTTATCTATGATTAGGGTAAGTGGGGATTAGGTTGTTTCAATCTGTCTGCCTCCAGCAACATCAAGATCTTTAAGTGCACCAGATTCAAAGAATCATTTGAGGCTTCCAAGTGCAAAGAGAAGTTTCAAAAATCCTTAGTGCGAATGTCTGTGCAAAGCTGAGGAAATTAAAAACTATGTATATGTATTTATTCTGAGTTACATTCTTCTCCAAGAATCCTCAGCCTCTTCCTCCCAATCCTTCACTTTTCTGACTAGCATTCAACTAAAGATAGTTTTCAAATGAAAGACTACTATACATAACTTTCAAACATAATTTTTCTTATGCTGTGGAAGCATGAAACTAAAATAAGGAAATTATGGGTACTCCATATTTTGTTTGTCCTTGAAAGGCAAGTGTCTTTTACAGGTAACGTTAAATATCATTATTTTATAATTATGGGTCTGACTCGACTGCATGTTGAAGCCAGAGGAAAGAAATGATGGGTACTACAGCAGGCTGATTGAAGGTAGAGAAAATATTTTGAATGTTTGAGTGTTACAATTTATTGTGCTTATTTACATTTCATTTCAAACCTCCTAGGTGGCCTGATGGGTGGGGACCTCACAACCGGTGCAGGCACCAGTGCAGGTAAAGAGAGGAGAATTTATATTTATTTTTCCAAGTAAAAAAACTACTTACCTCAAAAGCTGAGTTCTAAAATAGCTCCCTTTTGGAGAGGGGATAGTAAAAATCCATTAGCATTTTTTTAATTCCCTCAGCTGGGTTGTGGAGCATTCATTGATATTTCTGCTTCTCCTATTAGTAGAAAGAGACTTGTTTTCCAGCAGCATCAAAAATCTTACACCTCAACACATTCCACAGAAACAAATGTCTGGTTTACTTCACATTAGCCTTTCCATAAAAACTTTTGGGTGCATTGCTTTGCCTTGTTCAAGAAAAACTCCTGGTGGAGTCAGTGTGAGAAACCTTGATCCTTTTTGCATCCTGGGAAGGTTTTAAATTGATTTGAGTGGAACTGGGGCTTCATTCTATTAATTTAAGCTTGAATAAAGATTTTAATAGTGAGTTGCTCATTGTACTTCAATGTACTGTGTGTAAATTGTGTTTATGCACAGTAAAAACCCTGCTGTAAAGACCATTGCTAGTCAGCAAAATCTCTTAGCATTTACTTAAATAATTAGTAATTACCTTCAGCTTTGTCATATGTATTTGCTTAACTGCTTGATACACAGCAGGTAAAGAAATTTCAAAATACCCAGGTAGAGAAAAAGATAAGCCATTTAGTCCTGCTCCCTTAGAATTACCAAGAGCTGTACTTCCTGAGGTCTGTGGTATTGAAGCAATGTTGTCAGAGTAGTCCCCTTTGCTCAGTAAACTCAGTGATTTGTTAGCAATATCAGCAATGTTGCATTATGACAAAGACAGATTACAAAAGACATGACAAAGACAGATTACAAAAGACAATGGCAAAATTAATTTTGCAGTTTGAGAAGTAAACACATATGTACACAGAAAACAACTGACTGGTAAAGCATGATGTTTTGCTGGGGAAACTGCCCTCAGGGAGAATTGTATGGAAAAATAGTTGGAAGGTCCATTTTGTGCACTATAAATCAAGGCTGATATAAATGGCAATTCCAATACTGTTGAAGTCACTTATTTTTGTTATAATGATTTAGGGTTTTTCTCCCTTGTCTTTTCTCAGCCTGAATTAGGGACCTCCACTCTCCTTTTATTTTCACACATGTGAAAATATGAGTGACAGATATTTGTGCAATGCACTCACAGCAGAGTTAGAGCTGCACAACACTGTACCAGAAAGGCACTTTAAACACATACTAAAGCTTTGAGGAGTCATTATGTATTAATTTTGGAGTAGAGAAGACAGACCATGGAAACTTCACTTCAGTTTCCTTTGTTCTCCAAAAAAACCCCAAAAAAATAGCATGACAGAAAATGATAGTTTTGTTCATTGTCTTCTGTTAACCTCTGAAACAGAGCTAAAGTAATATTCATTCTGCAGTGTTTGCATTTCATCTTTCTTTTAAGCTTGAGCAGAACTTCAGGAACAACAGCAGTGAGACTGGCATGGGAATTGATCGCTCTGTTAAGGGGCTCCTTCTCCTGGCTCATTTACAAATATCATCACCTCATTATTAGTCTCCCATTCCTTTAAATACACACTGAAAAGCAATTAGTAAAGAAGGCAGTGTTTTCTTTTAAAACAGGGTCATATTAAAATTAAAATTCATCTGCATGTGCATTTCAGTTAATAATCCTTGCTCTTAATAAAATCTGTGTATCACTACACCACCCGAAAATTTATATTCTTTCTAAATATTGGGGGGGGGGGGTGTTAAATATATTTGAAGCATACATAAGCATAAGAAGACAATGGTTTAATTATTCTTAAACAAAAATTAAGGATTTGCATTAAGCTCTCAAGCAATGCAATTTTGGAGTAAGCAATTGATTTGAGAGTTATATATAGTAGGAACATTGCTAAGAATACATCATAAATATTTAATTACCAGTATAGTCTTTGTTCTTTATTAGAAAATAAAAGCTTTAAATGTTGTTAAAGAAATGTTTTCTAAATCTCTTCAAAGCAGAACAATATAAAGTATTAGATAAAGGGCTGAAGAAAGATGGAAAGGTCACTATAAGTTTGAATCCTCTTTCATAGTTGTATCATTCCACAACAGCGATATTTTGGACAGCCATCTTTCTTTAAGGTGAAGAAGAATAAACATCAAAAGTTCTCTTTATTCATCATATTTCACAAGAAATAAAAACTTGTGTATTTTCTTCTATTTGGTATCTCAGAAGCTGGTAGCATGATCATGTTTGGTTCATATTTCTGGACAAATTAGAACCTTCTGAATTTGCATTTTTCCACAATGTCAAAAAATAGCATATATTCAAAATATTTAACTTCTAACACTAGAAAATGAAACTACTTTTTGTTACTAGCACCAGACCTCAGTTTCTGCACTACTTCAATAAATTGCATGAAAAATAAATTGCGTTATTACTGCAATATCAGAAATGGAAAATTATTATTTAAGACAGTGTTTTAAGAAGTATGCTTTTTCATTGGTTCAGATTATTTCAAGTAATAACCCTGGAATCATCCACAATTTACCTTGGGAGTTGGCCCAAGACATAAATAGAACTTAGAAAGCTGACTACTTCTTTATTATATTAAACAACTAACTACCATGTATGGTATTTATAAGGTAAACCAAGGTTGTCTCAGATTTGTTGTCTCAGCCAAACACTGATTGAGTGGTTTCTATCATGTGATAGTAGCAGCTGCCAACAAAATTGGAGTGATCTTCACATTTTGTATTTTTGCTAAATTATAAATACAGCAATATCTTTGGCAATAGTCTCTCAAAACATAGGCTTTTGATTGAAAGGCACAACAAGAACTTTTTGGACTCTAATAGTCATGCTCTAAATCCATTTTAGTTTACTGCATGACTAATATGAAGGCTGATATATCTACCTGTTTACATGTAGAGTATGTGAAGTTCTTTTGATTTTAACAGACTGTAGTCTTTAAAAAAACCACTTACAGGTAACTTGAGCACAAATAAATGTCTGTGAAGTTTTAGTACTGTCAATTATCTGAACTCAATTTTTATTCATTGTTTATGTTGAAAGTTTGATAGAAAACTAAAAAAAAATTTAATAGTTTTAAAGTTTTAAAATAGAACCGTATTGGGGGATGTCTTTCTTTGCATCTGTATTTGAACTTTTGATTTTCAAAGTGAGTTCTACTTTTAGACTGGGTTCTATTTTTCCTTTTGTATGGCTTTCAAAGAAAGATATTCTGTATTTTGTAATAAAGTTTTCCTTTTAATTGAACGAGCCAATTTAAATCAACAGCATTTCTATAGACTTAAAACAACTATAAATAATAAAATCAAAGGAAAATTTCCTTCTCAAGTATTAAATCCATTATGGATATAATAAAATATATACCTACTTCAACTGCTTATTTCTGTAATATGATTGTTTCTCTATTTGATTTCTACCCCCCATCTTGACATTAATATTAAACTAATGGAGAAAGTTATTCAACAGTTCTACAAAAAGCTCTACAAATGCTGTCAGAGGAACTAAGCACTTGCTGTCTTTTAATCTGATGTCTTCAAACTATCTTTAAACCTGTTATTAAAAAGCACTAGAAACTGAACAGATCAGCATTACATTTTGAAAAATTTATCCCTTGTTTTTTTGATAACCAAATCCTGTATTTTTCTATAAATCAGCAGCAAGTCATTTCCTTCTGGAAACTAGCCACAGGCCAACAATGCTTTCTCATCCTCTGAAGGCTGAGGTCCTGAAGTACCAGCCAGTATCATAATTTTCTTGTGCTTTCATTCTTTTTTCCTTTCCTTTTCTGGGTGGTGTACTGACTGTGGGTGAATGTACTCTACCAGTGTTTCAAGCCACATGGGAATACGTGTAATAGCAGCAATTTTTAATTTATATTCCCTCAGAGTAGAGGCAATCTGGATGATATATCCTCAAAGAGTGGTTTAGTAAAAAGATGTGCAATCTACCCAATTAAGCTGACCAGCAGTACCAAAAATAAGCAATGATTTCAAAAACATCTAGCTGCATTAAAAACTTTTGTAACTATAAATATAAATAAGCAAACAATTTTTTTTTAAAAGAAATTGAAATGTTACATAAATATTCTTCACTCTACCCTGAAATCATGCTTTGTATAGTCAAGAGAAGTAATTCTTGGACTATAAGTGTGAAATATGTTAAATAAACAAATGAGCTTGGAGAAATATTTTTCAAACCATACTTTATGGACAACCTATTAGTAAGACAGGAAATGGCTTTGCCACAAAAGCATGATAAGTTGTTGTCTGTCCCTTATTACTTGACAAGTGCAATAATCCACAGACTTCTGGCCCAAAGATTGAGTAAAATATGGCACAAATGTAAACAATAGTTCCTGTCCAAGGAATCTCACAGCACAAAAGAAAGGACACACAGTCATTCATAAAAGAGTTTGTGATGCAATAGAGCCAATTCCAAACAATTAGAATTTATATATTGGCAGGTTGACTTAAAACCATGGAATGGGATAAGGAATTAAAAATATAACTGCTCTGTTTTTCATTTTCTATTTGTATTATGCCTCTAAGTGTTCCTCTTCCAAGGTTTTCTCCATATAAGAATATATATCCATATACATAGAGATGGATGGATGGATGGATGGATGGATGGATGGATGGATGGATGGATGGATGGATGGGAAATAGATAGATAGATAGATAGATAGATAGATAGATAGATAGATAGATGGATAGACAGACACATTTTTTTCTTCATTGTTTTAAGGGAAGTACCTACAGGTAGGAGATTTTGTCAAAGCAGGCAGTACACTAAAACTTGTTTGACAGGAATAATAAATAGTATGAAGGAAACAGTCTACCTACTGAATTTCATATCTGTGTAGGTAGTCAACACAAGCCTTTCCAGCTCTAATTCCAAGTAACAAATAACACATGAGAGTCACATCAATGAAACTTTGAGAATAAGCTTGAATGGCTAAATGCTGCTGTTCATATAAAAAAATTCTAAAATCTTGCAGTGGG